AAGTTCCTCAACTAAAGTTTTTCAGGTACAAATTATAGCAACAAAAACACCATCGGCCAATTTCAGGTCTTTATCAGACAAATACACTGCTTCTTATGAGCTGCTCTTGCCAGCATTGTGACGTGAGGAAAATAATGTACTCTTTTTCTTACAGCTTGGAGGAAATTAAACAAAACAAAAAGAATGAATCTTGTTATTTCTTGGGACTGCAGCAACCCTAATCAAAGTTTGTGCAAAAATAATTTACTGTGGAGTCCTTTTCCTGTAGTGTCAGACAGACATTTTGGACTTTGTGTTTATCTGAACCTTTAAATTGGAAAAATGTTAATGTTGTAAAAAAAAAAAAAAAAAAAAAAAAGCAAGCAGTGCTCACTCTCTGTGAAACTTCTGAAAGAAAAAAGTCCAAATAACCCAATCGCTAAAACAGCTACGGTGTTTATCTCGCTGATTAGCAGGGCCTCATAAATACCTCATCACTGATGCTAATCAGCCCTCTCACCTAGGGGGGAGCTAAAAATACTAATTTCACACATGCTCAACTTGGGCTAATGCACACAGAACAACATTTTCTGCACAATTTCCCTATCAAAATACTTCTGGCATCGCAACCGTTTTAACATAACATTGCATTAATCCATTATTAAGTGACAAACAGCACTAAGTAGGTTCTGCACAACAAAATCAAAGCACTGCACAGGGAGAGTTTGACACCCACAACATCTCACTGCACTCTGAAATTGATTAAAACATAACCACACAGAGGTCTCATCATGATGACTCTTTATGACTTTGAAATAAAAAAAACAACTTTAGAAATATTAAAGATTTAATAGTCAATGCTGTGGAGGAGATAACAAGTACCTTTGATAAAGTCTTACAGCCTAGAATTTTGCAATAGCAACAAGTTAGTATGCAAAAAGTAAAACGCAAACATTTAGCATGTCAGCCTGGAATGTTAGCCGTTTTCTTTTTCCTGTTATAAACCCAGTTCACCCTTTATCGTGACAGTAACAGCTCTCTACAATGCTCCTTACATCACTTAAATGGATTCTGCAGACACACAACACCTTCTTGGAGTCTCAGGAACAAACATTCTTTATGTTGCCATCCTGAAGTGACAGACTCGGCAAAATGATTTGTTTGTTGTTGTCCAGGTTACGTTTATTTGCTCCTTGTGTGAGAGACACTACTTTTACAGTCTTTTTTTTTTCTTTTAAATGATACCACATTGACTCTCAGCTTCAGTATGAATTCATGTAAATACAGACAGAGGTGGAAAGAAGCGAACTACATTTCCTTGCGATACTGTAATTGAGTTGTTTTTTTGTATAATTGCACTTTTTAAGTAGTTTTTAATATCTGTAATTTTACCTTTACCTAAGTAGGTTTTGTTTTAAGTATTGTACTTCGTTACATTTTAAATCTGTTACTGAGAACATTTCTGAACAAATATGTTTACTTTTACAGTTGGTTTGTTAAAGATGTTTAATACTGAAAAAAAAAAGACAAGACTATATACAGAAAAGACGTTAAATAAATTCTATGAATAAAGTTAGATGTTCCTTTTTTTTAAATGTATTTACGATTATAATGTACAGGGAATTTTAAGAAATATTGCAAGAGGGGGTCCCAGCTAGAGGCTCATGCTATAAGGTGGTCCTTGGCATGGCACAGTTTGGGGACCCCTGCGCTAAAGTATTGTTTTGTTTTTTTAATTAGACAATTGGCAATTGTGACATCATACAGTATTCGTTTACAGAAGAATAGTCGAAGTGAGCAGAGAGCTGCCATAATGGAAAGTAGTAGACAATGCTTGCCTGGTTAACTCAGTCTTTGAGGTTATTAATAAAGTAATAACCCCATGTCCAAGGTGAACTGAACTGGCTAACAAATGAAGAAAGATTTATTAATGGCAAATTAGCCATCTGCTTTCCATCCTAACTTAAGATAACCAGTGACAAGCTGTTGTCATGTATGTATGCGTTCAGTTTCTAACAACTGTCTGACCTCTGTGAACAAGTAGGATAGCTGGCTAATTAGCTTATGAGCTTACGTAAAGAACACTCATTTCTTTAAGGAAAGACTTCAAGACATTAGCCACCAACCACAAAAAAGTGGAATGAGATGTTTGGATCTAGTGAACTGTGGGTATTTGCTTCAGGTCAGTGAATGTGATTGTAGCACAGAGCTGCTGAGGTTATTGATTGATGTTGGCCACAGAAAGCTGTCGTTTGTTCAGTCGCTCTGGGTGCTTTGACTGAAACATCTCAGCGTGCGCTGTTCAGCAAGGTGCTGAATGTCACTGCTCTAGGCAACCAATCATACACTAGATGGGATGGGACTTGTCGCCCAGGTTACAAAGAAAATGGAAACCTTGTTCTATTGGAGGTGACAGATAAAAAGTCAGTGGGCCACCATTGAGACTCCTTCTCTGGGGATCCTTGTTCATGGTAATCCATCCAACAGTGTTTGCTTAATTAGTATGTTTCTTACAATCCTAAGTTTACACAAGTTTTGATGACTTAAGTATTGTTTCAGCATCATTCTCATGCCAAAACCCTCAATTAGGGTAACTGTTCTGACACTTTCAGAGATGAAAGGGGGGTGGGGGAGTCTAAATTTCAACATCTGAGCCAAGTTTGTGACAAAGACTGAATAAACAAAAGATTTCCTGCGGTCATAATTATCACCATCTTTGTGTCTCACTAACATCTCTGTTGAGACTCGAACAATAATTAATGATTAAGAGAGAAAGAAAGCATCTCATTTCAAAATTCAACTTGAAACATTTCGATTAACAAATCACAGCAATGTCAAAAGGCTGAGAAGTGATGAATGAATAGTGAGGAAATCATTTGAATAAGTGTACAACATAATGAATTCTTGAGAAAAGACAGGGAGAGAAAGAGAGAGGGAACGTGACAGTTGCAGGTTAAACAGCTTACACTATGGGGGGGGGGGATTTGGGTGCCTCTGCAAGAGGGGGATATTAGCAGGATTATCTGGCAACCCTGTTGCTGAGGTGAGTACCATTAGAATCCTATTTGCAACGACTTCTATGCTTCCTGTCCAAAATTCCCCACTTTTTCTTCTCATAAAACAGATTACAGTCACAGGGACTTTTAAAGAGCATGTTATGTGAGACTGTGTGTGTGTGTGTGTGTGTGTGTGTGTGTGTGCAGTCTGCAGAGTGTTGTATGCCATGAGTAGTACAGGCCTCTGTGCTCCCATAGGCCGCATCAGGCATGTGTCATACACACTCAGACAGTGACAAACACCCTGAATACTAATACAGGAAGTGTTTGCATGTGTGTGTGTGTGTGTGTGTGTGTGTGTGGCTTTTTACATCTGTATGCATGTTTACCAGACAGAGAGAGGTGAAGTGTGGTGTGACGGGGAGTGTGGAGATTGCACTGAGTATGTGTGCATTTGAGTGTGACAGTGTGCACAATGAGGGAATAACGACTGTGTGGTTGTGTGTGCGTGTGTGTGAATGTCTGTGTGTGTGTGTGTGTGTCTGTGTGTGTGTGAGTGTGGAAGCAGTCTGAGGTTAATAAATATTGGCAGTGAATTATCTCTTCTGGCAGGGTCGCAGGTGGGTTCGATGGAGCAGATTGGACACAGTAGGAAAAAAAAAAAAAAAAAAAATGTACACCCCCCATTTCTTATTCTCATTTTATTCTGGCATTCAAGTGAGTCCTTGAGCAAGGCAGGAATGACCAGCCGCAATTGGCAATTGTCTCATAGCGCTGCCTTCCACCTTGCCAGTATGGATTCTCCACACTCTCTGTTCTAGCTGGAGGCCCCCCGTATCATAACAAAACACAGCAACAACACAGTGATTAGCTTCCACTACGCGCTCAGATCAGAGAGTTACACAGAGAGGGAGGGGGACAGATAAACAACAGAAGATAAAAAGAGAAAAAGTCAGCAGGGCAGGATGGAGAGAGGAGAGAACAAGGAAGGAGGTAATTGCAAGGGGAGCACAACAGGATGTTTTCACTGCAAAGCTACTTAAGAATCGGATTTGCTAAACTGCTAAGGGACAGACACACATACAGTTTTTATTTAGCTGGCTCAATGAGCGAATGGGGGATTGTGATCGATTATTGCAGCCCAGCACTGTGACATTGCCCAGTCATCATTCTCTACCACACACACACACACTCCACTCGTGAGGTACACACACACATTTATCACACACAACAGAGGAGAGAGTCTCTGCCGGTAGAGTGCTCCTCTCCCTGCATGGCCGCGTCAGGCACAAAGCTATAATGTGGCGTAATGGTGCATTAACATGGGTGTGGGGAAAAGAGGAAAAAAACCTTGCAAGGTCAAATTTGCACTTCCTGAAGCATTCATGAAAAATCTCATCAAGACAGATAGCAGTGACGCAGATGCCGCAGCCTGTAGGAATTCTGTTGTTGAAAGTGTTTCTCTTTTAACTTTCCACCTCTGTGTTAATAACTGCAGTGATTATGCTGTACACACAGTGAGATGCACACTGTGAGTTGCTGATGGCTACCTGCATGCAGATCTTTGATCTTTCTGTTTTTTTCTTCCTTTAAGGTGTAATACAGATTAAAGACAAAGGTTATGAACACTCAAAAGTGGTAATAGAAAGTTTTCTAAAAGTTCTGAACTGTTCGATGCACAAAATATATCATGTCACTATATAATGCAGCTATGAACTTCCATTCTGTGTTGACTTTGGCGGCCCCGTGGACAGATGTGGAATAGGTTCTAAGAATGAAGACCACCTTTTGTCGCAAAGATCAAAGAAAAACTTAATTTATTTTTCTTACTCCTAAAACCGTTAACAGCAGCAAGGGCATAGCTATACAAAAAACTATACAGAAGTAGACAATCTCCCAGCCTGTTTTTAAATTAGCCATAAATAGGCATTTGTATTAATTGCAAAATGTTTTATTATAGTTAAAGCTCAGTTTTCTGTTCGATTGTGTCCACTTTGTCTGGCCCTAAATGTGATGTGTGTGTACCTTTTTAAATAGCAGGGAGTCGTCCATGTGCTCTGCATAGACTGAAGTGAGTCTGTACTGGTTCTCAGTGGTGATATCCATCTGATAGCCGGTCAGGAGGTAGCAGACTGTGCGGAACTCCTGAATCTTCCTCTGAAACACCTCTTTCAGCCTCTGGTTCCTGAGCTCCGAACTCTCCATCTGCTTACGTAAATCTGAAACACATTGCATAGACACAAACGTTTGGAAAAACACTTAAGCAAGTATTGCTGGTACTTTTATTTTAAGAACATCATTCTTTATGTACAACTGAGATAGTCCGGTTCAAGACTCCTTCTCCACGGAGCTCCACAAGAATATACTCATTTCACTTAGCCAACATATAAAAAATACACTCCCTGAGGCTCTCCATCTGCTCACTTAGTGTCTACCAAACACTTTGATGCACTGAGTGTATGGTGACTAAAGCAGTCAGCTGCATCTCTTAGCTGGGAGCAGAAAGAGTCACAGAGAGGGGAAACAGGACGGGGGTTGACTTTAATTTGTGAAAAATCCATTTGAGATAATTGCTTTAATTTGAAGACTTGATTTGAGAAGGTTGAGAAATGAGTTTGCCTGAGCAAAAAAAAATGAGCCATTATGGAGGTAATTATTTACACTGTTATAACAAATGAAAAAAGCTCAAAGTCATAGTGCAAGAGAGAAAGTGTGAAAGTGCATGAGAAAAGAAATGGTGTCAGGAGCAAGGACAACAGAGCAGCCACTCAGAGGAACTCTTTTTCTATGAAGTTATTAAGAGCACTGCCATTTTAATTTGTATGTCCTATTGAAACATGCCTTATAACAGCAGAAGACCGAACTTTGTTTGGAGCTTTCATCTTAATGAAGACATCTTCAGCAGAGGGTCCAGACGTGACAAAAAGCAGGAAGATGGCTCTAAATACGGTAATGTTGTTTTATTCACTTATCACTAACTATTATCCTTATTCGTGTCCCTGAAATTCACCTCTCACATGCCTGCCATGGCCGTTTCACGTTATTGTCAAAGTGAAAATGGGAACGAAAGCAGAAGTATAAAACATGAGTTAGGAAAAGGACAGACAAAAGCAATAGAAAAAGTGTTTGAAAAATAACTTTTTAATCAAGGTATATGCAATGCAAATAAAACATTCTTAAAAGCTTTGCCTCAAGGACAAAGCACTTCAGTTGCTCAAGTAAAACTAAGCCCAATACTTGGAAAATCGTGCCTTCTTACAGTCATCTCTTGTGCTATAACACACGCGCACGCGCACACACACACACACACACACACTCATACAATATATAATATCCTTGAAGAAGCACTGAATTAATAGAAACAGTGGTGCGTCTTCATGGCCCAGGCCTCTAACCCTGCTATGACTAATAATTATGTCCAGCTATCATTCTCCTCTTCATACATCCTACCCTATTACATTTTCATCCGTCAGTGTTACACAAGAAAATGGCAACAAAGTAGAAACTTAAGAGTCTGAAAGTGTCAGTGTGGCTGTCTGCCTCCTGAGTGACTGGCTCCTCTTGAGTGTCAGTCAGTGCTGATAAATACTGTTTCAACACTTCAGCATTGTGACAAAACTGTCACTCTATGACAGCTTTTCAAAGTGCCCTAAAAATGGTTGTTAATTCTCCAGTGACAGCATGAAGGAGACACTGCTTAAATGTACTGTAACATGGAAACAATTGGGACCCGTGCAGAGGGATATGGACATGTTTATGCCTATGACATAACACAGACAAATGAGAACAAGTCGCCTACTCAGAAATGTGAAGCGGTGACTGTTTAGCTGCTCAATCAAAGTATTTTGGGGGTTAAAAGAGTTTTACACCAACTGTGAAGTTTGGAGAAAGTTAGTGACTTCTGATATTTGCCCTTAATTGGTCTCTGTGGTCTGGGCAGGCTGTCTCTTAAAAGCTGTCAAGAAAATTCCACAGCTGAGGGAGCTTCTCATTTATATACTGCTGCCCACTCATGTCTCAACCTGAACTAAGCCCAAAAATGATCAAAAAATGGGTAATGATACAAAATCATTTCTTGTTTTGCCTGAGGAAAAACTTCAGAAGTTAACTAAATGTGTCCTATCGACCCAGGAGAGCCTAAACAAGTGGAATATTATCCTGAGTCTGCCTCTTGTGACATCTGAGGACGTCTGAGCTCCGAGGAAACAAGACAAAAAGGATAACGATTCTACGATAGCAATGTAAAAAAAACATGATGAAATATTTGTTAGAATAGAATTGAAACATGGATGAATAAGCTGCAAGATTTAAAGTAAACAATCCAACATGAACAGGATGGAGAAGAGTTGGTTTATAGCTGTGAAGGTAAGTGGGTAGATTAATGACCCTGGCAGATTCATCTGTTGGTGCTCTGGTTGAATTCTTGGCTACATCATGGACCATTGGCAACAACTTATTTAAAAGCCTTAGAGTAGGAAAACTGTTGGATTGTAAAAAGACATGACCAATATTTTCACTCTCCATTACATAGTCACCCCCCAGGACTTTTCCAAGAAGGGGTGAAAAGAAAATATTAATAAAACTCAGTCGTGTGTAAAGCTATAAAATAAGACTTAATGGTCACAGCTTAATCCACTGTTTTAATTTAATTTTTTGGCCTAATGCTTTATGATGATTACGGTTTCTAATCTTGTGCAAAAAAGAACTGTCTATAACCCTATGCTTCTTTATTATTCAATTATTTTTGTTACATGTTCACATAAAGTTCTCAATCCAAAATAAGACATAAAATACAATACAGGATTATTACAAGGCATTAGGGATGTGCTCAAAAAAACGATATGTCAATATGTCGTCATGTGCTCCTTGCAAATACATGTATCGATGCAGACGTTACAGAATCGATATGGCTGCAAAGCTGTGACGAGAGTTTCGAAAGACAATTGACCTTTGGTGCAGTTCATAATAACACCTTTGCCATAGCCATGGCTCTGGGATTAAGATATTTGAATGTCTTTCTAGGCTCTCTGAGGACCTGAATTGAATAGTTGTAAATTGTAGGATCTGTATGCCTCTGCTGTTATTCTCAACAATAAAGAACAGCTGTTGTAGTGAATTCTGTGTAGGACATGGTCATTATCCAAACTCAATGTACATCACAATATGGTATGTATCGTATCGAAGCCTCTGCATTGTGATACGTATTGTATCGCGGGGTTGTGGGAAATACCCAGCCCTACTAGACATTCAATCAGTACAATCACTCAAGATTAGCAGCAAAACTACAAAAACATTCAAATTAAAACTAAATAAATTTCAGTAGAGAGTACTTCACTCTAAGGTCGCTGGTACAGTAGAAAGGATCACCTACTGTATACACACAGAGCCAGCAACAGAGGTACAATAATTTCAAGTATACATGTTTGTGCCTTTGTAGATGCAATGTACTGTGTGTTGTCCTTTAAATGGACCTTGAGCATGTAATAAAGCTGGAAGTGAAGTGAATACTCTTGTGGGTCAGTCAAGGACTTCTGTCAGACCTTTCATTGCTTTATTAAGCCGTCTCTTCACAAAAGATGACTTTTGATCAGTAGATCCTTATTTCATTGTGCTATTGAAGTCCTGTTAGAGAGGTCTTTAACTAATATTTGATCTGCGTACAAGACATTTTACTTTTTGTATAAACCTCTGCCAATGTCAAAGTCATAAAAATCATTCCATTTATCTTTGATTTTTTTTTTTTCCCAGAAATCCCATCACATTGAACCTGGTCTGAAGATAAAAAACTGATAGCACACATTAGGTCCGTATTATCTGGGTTTGAAAATGAGAACACCAGTCAGAAACTCAATTATGTCTCCACATGGGAAATAAAGAAAAGGAAAAAGACAGGTAGAAATGAAAGACAGGAGAACATGACAGAAAGAAAGACAAGAGTGAAAGGAAGTGTGACAAAGGAAAATAAAGGACAGCGTTCGGTTGAGGAGAAGAAATGAGATGAGAGAGGAGTTCTAGAAGGAGGAGTGTGTACTGGGCGCTTTCTCGGATGACAAATTAGACTTCTGGCTCTGAACTGCCCCGAACCCCAATTAAATATTTAACCCTGTCAAAACTACACTTCCCTCCTCTAACTGTCTGTCATATACTCCTCCGAGAACAAAAGCCTCAGGGCTTCATATATAAATATCAAGGAAGCAATTCCCTTCTTACACTTTCATTAGCCTCAATTGAAATAGGACCTAAACTGTTAAAGATGTGCACTGTAGAAAGTAGTAATAAACATCCAGTCGTTTCTCTAATGTTCACTTGGACTGTCCTTACCTGCATGTGCTTTAAAAACCTTGGTAACTGCCCGTATAAGTGATGTAATATGTCATTTTTTAAAGACAATTGACTTCTAAAAGATGACTCCTGTTAGTGTGATGGATTAAAAAAATGGAACATGCTGGACTTGTGGACCATTTCAGGTGTAGCACGACTCAATAACAACTTACTGTAACTAATTAGAGCCAAAGCAGAGGCCTTTATGTGCATGTTCTTACTGTGTCCTACATTAACGTAGTCTGTGTTGGGCAGATTTATTTCTCCAATAATGTTTGCTCTGGCCCTAATCTCTGCTGTGGCACCTGTGTTCAGCTACATAAAAATTTATGATGATGAAAATGTGATGGGCAATGAAAGAGTCAATGCATTTGCCCAACCTGGTTTCATTTATTACAAGGCGAGCACCAGCTAATGAGGCAATTTAGAACAAAGGGAGTCTGTAGAGAGAAGTGTGTGCTGTGAATCTTACCCAGCACCTCCTTGGATGGCGGCAGACTGAGGCTGAGGCCGGAGACTTGCATGCTTGACTCATCCTGTGAATGGACCGCATCGCCTCCTTCCCGCAGCATGCGCACCAGTTCTCTGAGACTTGTCACTTCTTCACGAAGACATTCTACTTCCTGCTGGCGCTGTTGCTTGGCAACACTTGTGGGATTCATTTTGAAGTGGAGAACTCGGGTTTTGACTGGATCATAGTCTCCCTGAAACGGATAGAAAGACAAAGATCGACGACTTTAAAATTGTTTTTTCCTGAAGAGTTCCTCAACTGGAGAGGAATTAAAATGAACTTGTCAAATCCTCTGAAGAGAAAACAGAGACCAAGTTCTGATGTACTTCAGCACCGTCATTGACTGTACATTTGATGCACCTTGGCATTTACTATCAACGCAGACACCTTACATAAATGTGTTAATGGCAACTCAAAGTAATGGATGATTATTAAGACACACGTTCTTCAAGCTCAAAAGTAAAACTTTTGTTCACTTTACTTTAAATTTAGATCAATTTATTTAGATTCTTAAATTATTAAGTTGAGTAAGCACAACAGGTAGTTGGTTCATATTTATGTCTATAAAATATATAAGTCCAAGCTTACTGAATGTTCAGAAGATGTGTGTCACCCAAATAACACTCCAAGGTTCAAAAGTCATTTGGTTCACAAATATAGAAAGATTGGAGTTGGATTGACCAAATGGTTCCATCTTTTCTTCAGGAATATCATTTTTGTTCTATGTTTTATACCTCCCTGAAGTAAAGTTCACTTTTCAATCATGCATGTTGCGTAGAGTTATTGTACATTTTAAAGACTCAAGTGCACAATGCTCAAGGAATAAATGCATCACATAAGTGCTCACCTTGAAATCAAACATTGCTTCAAGTCCCAATGACTCAAAACAAATTGTTTATTTTAACTTCAACAAACGTTGTTGCAACGTTGTAATGATTTAACCACAAAACTACACCTTCATTTCATTGAATACTGAGAAGAGTCGGATGTTGTAAAAGCCAAGCTTTCATTATATTTTTTTTAGTATTGTTTCAAAATAGTTTGGAGGAAAACTGTATGTGAGCATAAAAAAGGTGGAAAGACTTCCACAGGGATGAAATCAGCCACACTGATGAGTCACTTAGTTACCTGTGCTCAACAAATGGTGATGCCAGCATTTGCAAGGGTGAAGAAATTCTCCTTAACACTCGAGTGAGAACACAGGGAATTTGATTTTCAAACAAGTAGCTTTATTTCAAAATGTCTATTTCCAAAGATATTTATTTGGTCTAACCTATGACTGCTCTGCTTCTTCATCCTGCCAAAATCCTCTCTTCAGAGGCTGACGGAGCAAACATTGAAGTTATCATCTAACTGCCCACCTGTTTCATTTCCCAGTGTGATACTCTTTGCCCTCAGCACCGAGCAGTGCAGACTGTGGCAGCAGCAAAACCTGCACAGATACACGGTGTGCCGTAGTATCTGAAATCTTCTTTACTCTCAAAGTCGACAAAACTAACATAGTAGGGCAAAAGGTAAAACAAAGCCAATAAATCATCGGAATGGAATAGAGATTAAAGATCAAAATGAATTGTACACAGTTATGTTTAATGTTTGTACAAGGAGAGCAACGTTAAACCAGAGGCAAATTCATTGTGCTTGTACACATTTCTTCAAGACATATCTGGCCTATAAATATGATTCAGCTTCTTTTTCTGAGATTAAAGGGAAAACCATCCGACATGTTTTTTGTTTTCAATATTTGGAAATTAAATATATAATGTTAATTCAATTTCTCATTGTTTTTTTATGTTCATGTTGCATTTTAACCTAAAAGAAAAAAAGGCTATCAAAACAATTAGGACATCAGGACCAATACTGATTGATTTTTCCATTACTTCTTTTTCATTCATCGTTTGTGTAAATTTAATTATCTATGGGATTTGTTTTCCTTAATTCCCTCCTCTTGAAATGTCACTGGAACATGTCTTACAAACTGCATGTCATACACTTTTCTGCCCAATAAAAAACCTCTCCTATGAATCAGCAGTTATTTATGCTAGCTTGCCCGGATTGAATTGATGCGACACAACAGATAAATATCAACTACTGACATTGGTGCATGCAATATTACTTGCTGATGTGCCGAGGTTTGTCAACAGGGCTATTATTGGCCAATAACGATGGTTAAGTGAGACATCAGGGCATCCCTACACGATAGGGCTGGGCCTTTAGTCGGGTTCCAATTTCAATTGTAATTTGGGTTGTTACAAAGTGCATCTTGTTATATTTTGGCCACAAGAGTACATCACCACTACCTCAAAAACATAGCTAACGTATCAATAATGTATTTATTATTACATATATTTTATTTTCACTTATTCATATTCGTTTATTGCTTGTTTTTCAAAGTTTTAAGGGTGTTTAAGTTTGAAAAACATGTTATCCAGATGTTGTAAAATCAATGAATAATAATAATAATTGATCATTGAAATAATCATGATTGTGATTTTTGCCATAATCAGCTATATGAAACTCGTAGCCTTCATAAAATGAAAACGGCTGGGTTATAAAACGAATAATTCACTGCCATAGTGTGTGCCTGTAATAGCATAACAATACCATAATTGTTTTTTGTATCAAGCTGTGTACGTGTTAATTTCTTCTGTCAAAACAGACATTTTAGAATGGGCTGTGTATGGGACTTCTGGGTATTTTGGAGCACAACCTGAAGCAGACAATCGAAGAACTGAAGTTTTACTGCTTGGGTTCAACAGTAGAAGCATTTCCGTCAAGCAAAATAGAGAAAAAAGAGATGTCATAAGATGATGTTGCAACATGGGGAATGCAGACTAGGAAGATAAGACTTCAACAAATAAAGGTTGATGCTGTTTCCTGAAACCAGATTTATTTTTATTGTGTTCCCTCTAACTCTGCGGTGCAGGTTAATAAGAAGAGTCTATCTCAGCTTAATGGCAATATAAGGACATACGTACACAAACACAAAATGCACACACACTCCAATCTGAGCTCTTGATTACTGGCTAAATTAGATTCCCTAGCCCCCAAGCTATGGTTGCCAAATAAACTACAGGCGTAAAGGAAAGGAAGAGGCAACGAGGAGAAAAGGGGGATGTGAAGATGGGAAATGGTGAGGGACATGGAAAATAACATGGTGAAAACAAAAAGGGGGAGGTGTATCATAGCCGTCAGCTACGATATGAGGGGAAAAGCAGCATGGATGGAAGGGAAAAAGCCTCACATGCTCATAAAAACTGCTTTGTATAATAGAAAAGAAGAAGAGAAGAGAGGGATTCAGCTTTCCAGAATGAGATGTGAATTTTTTTTTTTTTTTAAACTCACGGGACAACAACTGGACTGCACACACATCAGTGCCAAATAAAGCATTGCTTTAGTTGCTTCTTGCGTAAATCTTTTTCAAGTTTTCTATATATGGAAGGTTTATTTTAGGGCATGTGAATGTGTGTTTGTGTGTTATGATAAACAGTGAAGGGAGAGTGGAAGGGAGAGCCAGATAGTGTGAGACATATGCAGATTAGAGCTGTAAACTCAGCACAAAACGGAAAGTCAAGAACTCAAAACACAGCCAACAGCTAGATACTGTCAAAAATGTTAGAACTCTCTCAAACATACGTCCTTAAAATCAGGTCAAGTTACAGAAAAAAAATGGAATGATTTGGCCATCTTCGTCACAATAATAATTCTATGTTTTGATGCCTGGACTGAGCTGAAGGGCAAAGTTTTAATTGACTGCTCGGAAGCCAAAACAAAGAGGAAAAAATGTCTCTTTGGCATTAAAGCACTTTCACAGAGTCAAAAAAAAGTTTAATCTTTTTTATTATTATTTGGTTAAACTCTCTCATCAAAAAAAAAAAAAAAAAAAAAAAAAAATGGGAAAATACCCTTTTTTCCTCTTTATCCATTTTAAATTCAAAGGAATGTTTTCTAGTATCTTACTCAATTCATAGGTTGCTCCCATGCGTTAGTCAAAAATATTAAATGACGTTGTTCTTTTGACGATTGGATCTTCAAACACTTAGGAAATGTATAGAAATTTAAACTAAAATCATGAACATTTTTGATAAACCTACTTGGAGAAAAAATTGGGACTCCTCCTCTCCTGCGCTGCGACTCTGCTGCTCGAGTGACGACCTTGTAAGTAACAAGCACCTACTACCAGGTTGAGCATATTGCATATGTATGTCTGCTTTTGACAAAAGAAAGGGAAAGTGGTGCACTACCTGTTTATAAATCATAATTAGGTTTACTGCTGCAGAAACACAAGAAGCCAAATGGAGTTTCAAAGTGGATGTAAGAAAACTGTTTAATATTACAGTATTTCAGTTGGCCTATTTTGTGCTTGTGCGTATGTGTGCGTGTGTGTGTTTACATGCATATACAACCTTTTTTTTTTCACACAGTATTTACAGTGCAGCAAGGTGGAGTGCCATTCTAAGTGCCTACGGCTACATATCTCTTATTCATAGAACAATAACCACACGTCTAATACCAGAGAGCAGAATCTGTTTTAAGAAAGAGCAAGAGGCAGGAGAGAGAAAGCAAACAGAGCTGGAGATCAAGAGAAAAAGAGAGAGAGAGAGAGAGAGAGAGAAAAAAAGAGAACGAGTGAGGAGAGATAAAGTAAAATCATGGTATAGAGAAGGAGAAGGCTATGGAAGTCCAGGGAATAATGTCTTTTTTTAACTGAGCTGAACCAATCAGTCTGGAACATCCACTTTTGTACTAAATGCAGCCGCAACCACAAGGGACACGAGTCACTGATGGAACAGGTGACAGGCTGGTGAGTGCATGAGCGAAGGGATACCTATTTTAGAAAAAAAAATGACGAACATAAACGTACAAACACGTCACAGGCGCTTCAACCATGAACTCTTGAAATAAGGTGTAACGAAAGACAGAAGAGACTATTTCTAGTCGGGACACGTTCTCAAAAACATATAGAGCTACTTTATTTGTAACGACTCCTTTAGACAAGTTATTTATACTTGACCCAAGCAAATTAAAAATATTTACCCTTCACTGGTCTTAGCCATATAGATTTTTCAGTTTATTAAACACCTGCAGTGATCCCAGCGCAGCAGAAACGATCATTGCGTCTTCCCAAGAGGGGTGCGGTGACACTCATGCACGATGCACAGTGTTGTTACTATATTCATCATTTAAATCTCCAGA